TTAGTAGAGGTGATAAACATTACCACTGAAATCTACCCGATTACTATAGACATACACAGGCGCCAAGGGTCCAAGTGCCACCAATTATGACTAGTAATAATCAAATACATACAGATTAGAGATGCATGTGCCAACATCTCAGTGTTCGTAGCAAAAACAATGAATCTTTCTGCAAGGAACAATATATTCTAAAATGAAATGGAGATCTTTTTTAAAGGTTAAAAACTCATCCAATTTTATGTCTTATGGGGCTTATACTGAGTTCCATAATATATAACTATATTAATTCAACTGTGAACCTAGAAACTTTCACCCACTTGTGAAAGAGATGTACTATTGCTCTGGAGTATGTTACTGAATATGTTAAATCTGTAGTGAAATGCTGCTTCTAATCATGAAGTTATTAAACATTAAAAAATGATAAAAAAAATAATAGAAATAATTAGTAGATGTGAAATACATTAGCACTGAATCTAACTGATGACTTTATATCCATGCTCAGATGCCAAGGAGCTCAGATGTGCAAACATCTTAATGTCAATTGCATGGAAAATAAATTTTTCTGTATGAAAGTATTGTCTAATAATGAAATGGAAATCTTTTTTAAAGTTTAAAACCTCATTCAATTTTGTGTCTTATAGGGTTTATACTAAGTACAATATTGTATAACTGTAACAATTCAACTGTAAAACTAAAAATTTACCGCCAATTTTGAAAAAGATACATCTTAGCTCAGAAAATTGTTATTGAATATGTCAATGCTGTTGTAATGAAATGCTTCTGAAAAAAAGCCTGCATGGTATTAAATGTAGTCACTTGCCTAAATGCTTAGTCAAGCCCTCATTTCGCCCTCATTTTTCAAATGAGGAGACAATTGGTTTAATGAAATTTTAGTGAATCACTGAACCACAGAAAATTTATGACCCCAACCAGAATTCAATTCTTCCCTCCCCTACCCTGACCCCTCTTTATTTTGTGAGTGTGGGTATGTGTACAGGGGTGTGCATGCCTGAGGATGTCATCCTCAGGGAGACTTCACCTCCTTTGAGGCAGGTTCTCTCATGGGTCTGAACCTCACCAATTAGGCTACACTGGCTGGTCAGCTAGACTGCCTCGTTCAAGCTTATGCCACCACAGCCAGCATTTTTATGTAGTGTTGGGAGCTGAATTCAGGCCCTCATGCTTGGAAGGTAGGCACTTTACTGACTGAATCATCCCCCTCCCAGACATATTCCTCTTAATTCTGGATATAGTACTGGGTGTGTGTTTGTGAAACTTTATGTATGTTTGAAATTTCTGTAACAGCACAGTATAATTACCTGTCCTCCACATCTTTCACAAAGTCTCTACTACTACTCTGACAATAGTCCACAGCACACAAATCTTGTTTTATGTTCACCACATTCACTAACCCTATTCTATCCCTCTGCTGCTTGGATTATTTTGGGACAAGCTAAGACATCATATCAGTTCATCTGTTACTACTTCAATATATGTAGATCAATGTTTGAAACTGTATAATATATTGCTATAAGGCTGCCTGGTAAAGACATTTTTGTAATATAGATGTAGATTTTTAAAATATATGTCATTTTATGTGTATTTTACATACACTGCATGTATGTAAGTGCACCTGTGTGTGCAGTGGCCGAGGAGGTCAGAATAGGGGGGTCAGATTCCCCTGGAACTGGAGTTACAAATGATTGTGAGCCCCTATGTGGGTGCTGGGAACCAAACCCAGGTCCTCTGCAATAGCAGCTAGTGCTCTTAACTGCTGAGCCATCTCTCCAGCCCCTAGATACAGATTTTTAAGCAAAAGTACTCTTACAGGTTTCTGAGCCAAGAAAAAATTTAAAAATTAAAGTAAAAATAAATAAGTTCTAAGAAAAGACATTACTAAGTCAATACCTTATAACTTAAGGGGAAAGTAAAGTGAATTTGTACATTTATATATAATTCTAACTCATCTTGATTATGCCTTCTTGGTCAAAAGGTACTGTAAAAATAGACCACAGCACTCGATTACATTCACATACGAGTACCTATGTTAACTGCCTTGTAGACTTTGAGACTCCAGTACTGCTAAAGTGTAATGCAACTGGTGATCATAATGCAACTGGTGATCATAATGATGACCCTACAGCATCAAGGACATTTTATGAAAACAGCGGGGGGGCGGAGTATATGGCATTTTAAATGCTCACAAGGGAGTTGAAGCAGGAAAGTGTTTACCATTCTGTCAGTTTCTCAGGTAGATTTGAGGATTAATGAAAGAATAGGATGATGAGGTAGATTATTTTCCTATTTAGAAAGGACTAAATTAAGATTATAAATGATCAGGAACTGGAAAGATGGCCAGCAGTTAGGAGCACTTCTGCTTTTGCAGAGGACCAGGATTCAATTCCCAGCACCCACATGACACCTAGTTGTCCATAACCCCAGTTCTAGGGCCCTCTTCTGAACTCCCTGGGCATTGCATGACACAGGTGTACCTACCTACATACAGACAACACACTGATACACATAATAAAAAATAATATTTTTTTTAGAAAAATACTGATCAAAAAAGCTTATTTATGGAAATTTATTAAGAGGGAAACCACCACTTCAAGCCAGGTCCCTTTCCCCTAAACCTGTTTTTCCCTTACTATTTGGTTTTTGTCTGTGTCTCAAGCCCTGTGTCCCTCTGAAGCCCTAAAGTAGTCCAGCATCTTTGTGTTATTGATTATAGGGTGTGTTCTAATAAAATATTTCAACCAAATATGCCAATAATGAATTACTGGGGTAAAGCATGAAAATAATTTCAGTAAACCACTTTTATTACTCAGTTGTATTCCAAATGCCTTCCAGTTTGTTTATTCCTAAAATTTAAACAAAATAGTGCCATACCAGAGCTATAGCCCCACTGTCACTTGGAATATAAACTACAGCCTTACCTGTCTTTTGGTTGCTATTATTTTTACCATATCTAACTGTCCTATGAAAATTCTGCAGGTATAAAGATTTTAAAAATCTTTGGCAGTAAAGGTTTGTGCCTTTTAGGCATAGTCATTTTTCACTTTGTGATATTTGTAGCAGTAATACACATTATGAACTAGACAAAAGCTGTGTTTACCAATGTATGCAGTTTTTGAGCATGACTATCACACCTAGCTTTAGCGTCTGCCACCTCTCCCTTGTGACCTTTATCCATATCCTTAGTCCCTAAAAAAAGCATTCTGCTGAATTCCTCATAAACTGCCTGTGGAAGCAGTTGTGTTTTCAGTGTAAGATAATGAGTTTAGAGTTGGAGCCTCGTCTGCGCTAGTACTTATTAGGCCATGCTGGAGTGTGAGCACAAAGGCTTCACAAAGTTCAAATGCTTAGTGTTGAGGTGCCAGGCAAATGAGATTATGCCAATAGAGTAACCGTCCCCAAAGAGATTCTTGGACAAGTTGTAAACTTGGATAATGTTCTCTTTCCTATCATATAATACACCCTGGTGATAAAAAGAATAAAACATTTAAAAAATCACGATTGTTAAACTTTTATAATCCTGACCTCATGTGAGAGACTAGTAGTCACAGCAGCTTCTGCCGCTTTCCTTTATTTAATAGGATCTGTCTAACTCGGTGACACCGACATAGTTCATGTACCAAATGGTCTACTGCACCACTATAAACAAAGTAGTCCGTAGGGCGCCAGCACCCGACCTCTGGAAGGGAAGCTAGGCGCTCTGTAGAACTCTGGGACAGTAGGAACCTTCCAGTCGCGGCGGCCCGGGCCAAGGGAGCCTGGCTGCACAAGCCGGGACAAAACCCTCGCCGCCTCCACGCGTCGCTATGACAACGCGGGCCGGTGCTGGCACGGATTGGCCCGCCAGTGCGCGCGCTGCCTTCTGGGAGAGCGCGCCGCAGGTCCAGCTCGGGCAGTTTGAACTTGGCGGGCCTGATGGAGGCGGCTGGGTCTTGGCTGGCCGCCTCCCCCGCTCTGTGCACTCGCTACCTCGCGCGCTGTAGGCCCAGGTCCCGGCCCTCCTCCGCTTCCTTCCCCGACCTCATGTTGGACGCCCGGGAGCCGGGGCTGGAGGAGGTGTTGACATCCGAGTGTTCGTCGCGGCCGACTCTGAGCCGCAGCAACTCCACCCTGTCGCTGTTGTCACCCCTGGGCCACCCTAGCTTCCCGTTTGACGAGGACGACAGTGACGGGGAGGATGAAGAAGCGGTGGACGAAGATGCCCGTGACTCAGAGGCCAAGGTGGTGTGCGGGAAAGGAATGGAGGGGCGCTCCAGGTAAACCCGAGGCCCTGGCCCTCAAGGCTCACGTCAAGATTTCCCTAGATACCCTGCCTATAGCCCTCTGCGGCCCAACAACCGCAGCTTCCTTCGAGGCTGGGAAGCACCAGCATCCTGAGGTGCTGGGCAAATTCTTACAAAGGACCATTGATTTCCCATGATTCTTAGTCCTCCCTCCACCCCCAGGCTGTGACCATTGCAATCTCAGCCTCCGGGAAAACTTACTGTACATAGTCGCAAGCACTCAAAAGTTGGCTGGTATTTCAGGAGTCTCAAAAATCCTCAAAAGCCAACATCAGTCATTTTATAGGTAACAAAACTGTCTTAGAAAGCAGATAAAAATGTCTGACTCAAAAGCATATGCCAAATTATAAGCAGGTCTGGGTTTAGTATTCAAGTATCTCAGGTTTGCGTTTCCCTATACTGTCTACCTATTATTGGGTGTAGAAGGTGGGCCAAAGGGCCTACCCTACAGGAATATTTCTTTTTTTTTCTTTTTTTTTTATCTGATGGATTTAGATCCCATGAATTTATTTTTTTTCAATGTATTTTTTAATTGAATTTTTGTGCATTTCATACAATACATACAATAGACCCCCTACCCTATCTACAACCCCTCAACCCCTGGATCTCATGCATTCTGTCATATAAGTTAATACCTATTGAGTCAAGTTTGTGTACCCAGATATCCCTCAGTGTGAGTTCATCCACTGGAGCCCGTTCAGCCTTAAAGAAGCCTATTCACTCCCTTAAAGGAGACCAGTTTTACCTTACCCAGCAGTGAGCAGCTGCCAATAATTCTTCAGCTAAGGTTGGGGCCTCCGTGCCCATTTTCCAGTTCTGTCCTGGGTTTTTGTCTGATTGAGTTTGTCTAGGTCTTGTGCACGCTGTCACCATTATTGCAAGTTTGTATGAGCAAGTTCTCAGAAGCCTAGAAGACTCTTGTTTTCTTGTGGTCATGCATCACCCCTGGCAGACAGTCTTTGCCCCCTCTTCCGCAATGGTCCCAGAGCCCTGGGTAGGTGAGTTTTAATATAGGAGTCCTATCCAGGGACATGAACTCCTCGTAGGACTATTTCTAAGACAGACCTAATAATGCAGGCTCATTCTGAGGTATATTCCTGATGTCATCTTCAGGAAGCATTTACAAGTTTCTGATTGTTAAGGTATGTTAGGCACAGGACAGGAGATCTAGGACATTCATATGAGAAATCCCATGGTTTTTATGTAAGTAGTAAGAGAGTCCCCTTCAGTATAAGGCATGCATATGAGAATTAGTGAATCAACAGGCCCATATGAAGTCACTCAAATACATGGACAGCTTCTTAAGGATGAGAGGTGAAACTTGTACATTGATGAGGATGGAAACCAGGAGGAATAATCAAGCAAACCACTTTTCCAGGCTGTTGTAGCAACAAGAAACAGGCCTTCTCTGATTAACCTAATGGAATTTTGAGTTAGCATTTTAGGAGTCCATTTTCACAGGGGCCTTCAAAACTGAGTGGGTCTCACACATTTTAAAAATAATTTAAAGGCTTTAGTGAATACTTTTCTTCTTTATTTTTTGGCTCTTTTTGAGACAGGGTCTCCCTGTAGCCCCAGCTGACCTGGAACTTGCTATGTAGACCAGGCTGGCCTTGAACTCACAGACATCCACCTGTCTCTGCCTCCCAAGTGCTGGGATTAAAGGCGTGCACCACCATGCCTGACTCTTTTTTTATTTGTTATTTTTATTTTACATGTATGAGTGTATTGCCTGCATGTATGTAATGCACCCATGTTGTGCAATGCCTGCAGAGGTCAGATCCCTTGGAACTGGAGTTACATACAGTTGTTAGCCTCCATGTGCATGCTGGGAACAGAACTCTGGTCCTCTGCAAGAACAGCAAGTGCTCCTAATTACTGAACCACCTCTTCAGCCCCCAGGGAATACTTTCAAATGAAAAGACTTAAACAGTGTGACATAGTTTAACGGCTTGAGGAATAAATGGCTATCAAAACCACAGCTCAGCTACTGAGACTTGCATTAGCTTCTAAGAACCAAATGGAGCCTGCTAGCAAGAAGCTGGACACATCTCTGTCTCAGTTAAAGCCTAGATGAGCTTTGAGTATGTAGGTGAAAGTCTTGCTTCATACTTCACTCAGAGTCAAGAAAGGGTTAAGACTGGGTCTGGAAAGAGAATACATAATTTGTCAGGCCTTGTGTGATAGGCCTCAAGTGCTTATTAAGTACTAATAAAGAACAGAGATGCACTGATTACTCTGAATCACTTTAGAAAACCTGATACTTTCAAAATAGTTAAGTATTTAGAAAATGTCACTCTTCCTCTACTTCTTTCGGTTGGTGCCTTGGACAGTTTGAGAGTGATCGAATAAGGAATTGGGCAGCCTCATGCTCAAACCACTGGGGAGCTTTGTATCCTGTGTGTGAAGGGGAGAAAAAGCTGGAGGTGATGGAGGGGTATGCACTTTCTCCATCTTTCATCTAGCAAAGTGCTGTGACTGTGGCAAAGTAACAGGATAAGATTTCTTCCAGATGGACTCAGGCATTGACTGAACATGATGGATGTGAGGTCTAGATATTTTCATTATAAATAGAGCCATGCATAGAAGATACTTTGACTTCAAGATGTCTTGGTCAGGATTGAGATGAATTTCAGAGGTGGCTTCACACAAGATAATAGAGTCTTATATTATACTTTGGGCCTACTGTTAATCTGTTGAGCTCCTTCCTGGTTTTTATGTCACTATTAGGAAAATCATACCTTAATGTCTTGACCATAAATGGCTCTTTTATCAAGCCTTTCTTGATTATGAAAAGAGGTGTAGAATGGGTACGCACATTTTGAACACAGTTTTTAAAAATGTTAAGACCTTTGAAATGTTGTTATATTAAAAAATGTTAATTTAACTTCTTTTAATGAAGGTTTCAGATTTAGGCCCTTAGTCAAGATCTACTCTACCTCTTTCTTTCCTTCCCTTTTCTCTCCCTCCCTTTCCTTCCTCCCTCCTTCCTCTCCTCCCTACCTTCCTACCTTCCTTCATTCCTCAGGCTCTCACTGTGTAGACAAGGCTGACTTGGAACTCACAGAGATCCAGTTCTGGGATTAAAGATATGGGCCACCACACCCAGCTGTTTTCTTTTTTTAGGAAGAAATTGCTGTGGCAGAGGTAGATTAGTGACAGGAAGCCCAAGACCATTAATCTAGATGTTTTATAAAGAGTTTCCCAGACTATAAAGATAATGCCAGAATCTTGAAGGGAGAGTATGAGTTAGTAATAGTAAAAATAATAATAAATGACATACCAAGAATTTAGTGAGTGCCTGGGATTATACTAAGTGCTTTGTCATAGATAGTTGCATCATGCAACACTCTGTATGAGGTAGCTTTTACAGTCCTCTCTGTTTTATATGTAAGAGCACAGGTTTAAAGAAGTTTAAAAAAAATGAGCCAGGTGGTGCACACCTTTAATCCCAGCACTTGGGAGGCAGAGGCAGGCAGATCTCTGAGTTTTAGCTACAAGAAGACCCTGTTTCAAAAATACCAAAAAAAAAAAAAAAAAAAAAAAAGATGTTTAAAAAAAAATGTACACAAGGGGCTGGAGAGATGGCTGAGTAGCTAAGAGCACTTTCTGCTCTTCCAGAAGACCCAGGTTTGGTTCCCAGCACCCACATGGCAGCTCACAACTCTCTTACTCCACTTCTAGGGGATCTGACTCCCTCTTCTGGTCTCTGTGAGCAATGCATGGATGCGATGCACTTATATATATGCAGGGAAAATACTCATACACATAAAATACAAATCTTTTAAAAAATGTATCCAAGACAAAGCCAGTAAGTATCCACCCCAGGCTGTTTTACTCCCATATTGAAACTTAATCTTGGCCTAGGTAGAGGCAGATGAAAAGAATTTCCCTGCAGGAATTCAGCCTCACTGAGTGTACTCTGAATCAGCCACTGCTGAAAGAAGATAAGCAGCCGATTCATGGCTGTCAGGCTCAGCTCGGGAGCCTGGATTTTATTGGTAGGCAAAGGAGCCACTGAAGAGCTTCGTGTTGAGGAATGACATGATAGAAGGATTCGTTTGCAAGTTGAATCTAGCTACAGTTATTCAGAATGGTTTGAAAGGGAAGGGAAGAGGCCATTTACATTCAAAGAGTGGTTGTAGGGTTGGAGAATAGAATGGCTTGAGAAAATGAAGGATGTGGAGCTGACATGACACAGTGCTTATACGGAGGTGGGAGGAACATACAAGAGGAAGCAGGCAGAGTCACATGTGGGTTTCTGGCTTGAGTAACTGGGTGAACTGTGGTACTCTTCACTAAGGATTGTAGGGGAAGAGGTAAATTTTTTCTTGGGAGGCCCAAGGATGGATGCTCAAAAATGATTAAATTTCTTTTGAATTGACTCTGATAGTCACGTGGTTGGAAATAAATATCTGGTATCTGGAACCCAAGATAAAGATATGAGGTAAATTACTGATACAGGCATCATGAGAATGTAGTGATAGTGGAAGATGGACCAAATAAAGTCATTCTACAAGACTGTGAAAGAAAGATGTCTATAAAGAATACATTAGCAGTGTCTTTTGCCTACTAGAATACACATTTCATAAGGGCATGAGTAAATGAATAGTAGTAACAGGAAAACGAGTAAACTGAATTTAGGAGGCAGAAAAGTTATATAAAGCAGTTGGTGAGGCAATTTTTTGCTAGAGGGAACAATGTTAAAGACAGAAAGAGCTGGGTCTATATAATAAACTAGAGTCTAAGGTCAAGGGATAAGGCTTTGGTAGAATAGTTGACAACCCTTAGGCACTGGGTTCAATTACCAGTACCGGAACAAACAAACAAAACCTTCCCCATGCAAAAAAGTAAAAACAAAGAAAAGGGGATGTAGAAATAGCTCAGCAGTTAAGACTATGTACTGCTCTCGCAGAGGACCATAGTTCCCAGCATCCACATCTGTGCCTTACAAGCACAATTCCAGCTCCAGGGGATCTGATGCCTTCTGCAGGCACTGCACATATATGAACCACACCCACACACCCACACACACATACACATAATTAAATAATAAAAATTTTTAAACCAGCAGGGGCTGGAATGCTGACTTTGATCCATAACTCCCAGTTGCAGGGAATCTGACACCCTCTCTGGCCCCTGCAGGAACTGCATGATACAGGTACACTTAATATACATGCAGGCAAAAACACTCATATGCATAAAATAAAAATAAATAAATGAACTTAAAAAACCCTAGGCTCTAGAGCTGTTTTGGATCCTGAGTAATCTTTCTATGGCTCTGGATTGTTAAACTTTTTGCGAGGTTTGTGTATCTAGCCAAATTGCTCTGTTCTTTATTTACTGGTATACTTGGTTCTTTGTGCCCCAAGGAGTTAGACTGCCATTTCTGTGATACTTGGTGGAGATGGAGACTATGACATGAGGTCACCAGACTGGAGAATTATAGATGCTCTAAGGTAATTGGCAAAGGAACCAACCAAAATATTAAATTTTGAGGAAGACGGGGACATAAGGGCTGTAGGTGTGGTTCCTTGGTAGTACATGCCACATATTTAGAATGCTCCAGGCCCTGGGTGCAATCAAAACCAAAACCAAACAACAAATGAAAAAAAAAAAAAAGTAGAGAAGTGCCCTTTTGGGGGGGTAACTTTTAATTTTAAAACAATTCCAAACTTACCAAAAACGTTGAAAGGAGAATCCAGAATATTTGTTCACCATTTACCCAGAATTCTTAATTGTTAACACATTTGCTTTATCATTCCCTCTGTGTATATATAGATTTTATTCCCCTTTGTATTGTTTAAGGGAGGGAAAGAGAAAAGTCTGCTCCAGGATCTGATTGAGATTATATATGATAATTAGCAAACTCCAGATAGGGTTTTTAGGAATAAAAAAATAAGTTTTTTAAGACTGAAAAAAAAATGCCTCAGTTGAGGCAAATAGATTGAATTTGGGGTCCTCCTATGACTTCTTAATGTGCTTTTATAAGTAAAGGAAGTTGGATGGATGAACTAAGTCAAAGACTGGGCTTCATAATTTTAATACCAATTTGTGTAATTCATATATATTTGTAAGAATCAAACAGAAATAAGTGATTTTGACTAGAAAGAAAAAAGTGTTTCCTGTACTAAGTGCTGCAGTTTCCTGTCTTTTGTATCAGTGAAGTTGAATCAGAGGATAACCAAGAACAGAAACAGGTGCACTTACCAGAAAGCAGCCTGACACCATGGGAGATGTGGTTTGTTGGCAAAGAAAAAGAAGAACGTGACCGGCTACAACAGAAAGTTCTAGAGGTAAAACTCAACAGTGTTCTCTTTATTGAATCCTGAGCTCCTAGAGTAGAGCTGCTTCTTAGAGCTGCTTTTATCAGTTAAAATGTTAATGTTGTCAGCAAGGTGGCATATACCTTTAATCTTAGCACTTAGGAATCAGAGGCAGGCGGATATCTGAGTTCTAGGCCAGCCTGATCTACATAGTGAGTTCCAGGCCAACCAGAGTTAAAAAGTGGGACCTGGTCTCAAAAAAGTTAATATTATTGTCCCTAAAATAATGTTCATACATTTGTGTGTATGGGTTACTATCTCTGTTTTAATATTATAGAAACAATGTGTTCATTGAAAGAGTATTTGAAAAATGAAGCTAAGCATTATTAAGAAACTGAAAAGCTCTTGTAATTTTACCATCTGATCTGAAGATAACCAATTTTAATACTTAATTTAATATAAACCTTCTTGGTTTTCTTCTTTGTAAATAATAAAAAAAAAATACACTAAGTCATTGATATAAAGGATGGGTTCCAGGAACCCCTTGGATACCAAAATCCAAATACACAAGTGCTTTATATAATATTTACTTAATCTACACATATCTTCTTACACACTTTAAATCATTACTGGATTGCTTGTATTATCTGCTATAATATAAATACTGTGTTAATAGTTTATGCTGTATTGTTTAGAGAATAATGAGAAAAAAAAACCCTGTGCACATGATCAGTACAAGCATAGTTTTTTCCCTTGAATATTTTTGATCCATGCTTGATTGAATTCACAGATGTAGGATCAGTGAATACAGAAGGCTATGTATGTACAGACACGTACAATAGAACCTTCCCATATGTACGTTAAACTAAGGTAAATTTACCTAGGTACTGAGTAAACATTTTAAGAAAGGAGAGAAAACCTGTAATAGATACAGAAACCTACCTATCATCTCCCAAGGAGTGTGTGCCCTAAAGTGAGTCTGTGCTGGGCATGGAATCTGCTGGTTTTGCTAATTCCTGTTTCTCTGCTCTTTTGGTGTTGTTTATGGGCATTTCTCTGTGATTCCCTTTTTTGACTTCTCTGTCCAAACTCAAAAACCAATTCAGTTTTAGATGTATGTAATTTGACATCCTCTAAACTCCCTATCCAACCTTTCTATCTCAATTCTTGATATCTAAACACAGAAACCAAAGGATATTGAAGGATAGTCAATTTTTTAAAATTACTTATTTATATTTTATGTGTATGACTTTTGCCCACATGTATGTAAGTGCACCCATGTCATATAAAGCCTGTGGAGGCCAGAAGAGGGTATCCAATCCCCTGGAACTAGAGTTATGGAAGGTTGTTAGCCACCATGTGGGTGCTGGGAACTGAACCTAGATCCTTTGCAAGAGTAGCCAGTGCTCTCAACTGCTAAGCCATCTCTCTAAACCTAGGATACTCATTTTTTAATGAAATAAAATTAAGCTCTTTTATAACCTGTACTTTACTGCCTGTCACGTATTCATATATTTCCATATATTTAAAAACACTTCTTGGTGCTGAGAGTTTAGCTGAGGGCCTTGAACAAGCTAGGCAGGTGCTCTTGCCAGTTAACTATATCCTTAATCCTCATTAAATATTTTTTGATAAAGACATAGTGACACACACTTTACTCCTAGCACTCAGGAGGCAGAGGCAGATGGATCTCTGTGAGATCAAGGCCACCCTGGTCTACATACTGAGTTTCAGGACAGCTGGAGTGACAAAGAGACTCTGTCTTAAACACCATAATAATAACAATAACAATAATAATAATAATTTTTCAATATACTTTCCAAGTTTTTGCCTGATAATTATATTTAGAATATATCAATTATGTATTAAAATGTAATTAACAGCTTAACTGTTTGGAGATTTCATTTTATCTTAACTTACTATTAGTAACCATGTTACCATAAAAATCATGGAAATTAAAACCTTTATGGTCTTCCTGGGAATAAATTTTCCTTATTAGTTTTAAAGTTACTTGTTTTTGTGTTGAATTTCTTTTTTTGTTACTTTTATTTTATGTGTATGAGTGTATTGTGTGCGATGCCCACGGAGGTTAGAAGAGGGTGCCTGATCCCCTGGTACTGGAGTTATGGACAGTTGATAGCTGTCATGTGGGTGGAATTGAACCCAGGTCCTTTGCAAGAGCAGCCAGTGCTTTTAACCACTGAGCCATCTCTCTAGCCCCTGAATTTCTAAAGAGGTGGGCAGTCACATGTTCAAGAGACTTGGCATAATTTAAATGATTATAGAAACCAATACGTTCTGCTATTTCCTATTACATGATACTTTTCTAGAAAAGTACCCTGACAGTAGCTCCTAAAAGTACACTGGGAGGGGCTGGAGTGCACTTACATGCAGGCAATACACTCATACAGTAAAATTAAAATAATAAGCAATACTTTTTTTAAAAGTACATTGAGAATAGCCTCTATTTCCTGTTAGCATGGCCCAGGGTTTTGGAAGACTGGTTTGAGGTCAGGAAGGTTTAATAAAAGCCCTAGTTATAGCCTTTTCACTTGCTGGGTGATATTAGCCAAATTGTTTAAACTTCTGTACTTCTGTATTTATGTGTTCAAGAGGGCTAAAATCAAAACAGTAACAGAATTTTTGTGAAGTTTAAATGAATCAAAGTATGAAATGGTTGAATTTGTTTTTATTCATGACTAGGAATGTAGCTTGGTAGAGTGCTTGCCTAGCATGCATTAAGCTCAGGGTTCTTTTCTCAGAATGATATAAATTGGGCGTGGTGGGACACAATTGGAATCCTAGCCTGTAATCCCTATGGTTGGGAGGTGGAGGTGAGGATCAGAAGGTCAAGGTCATCTTTGGCTACATAGGGAGTTGAAAAAAATCAAAGAAAAGTACTTATTCACAGTGAGAAATCTATTATTTTTTGTTACATGTAAAATGAATATGTGTGTACATATGTATCTGAAATAATCTCAATTTTGTGCAGAACCTGGTACTGTGTTTTGCCTTTGCTTGTTTTGACCTATTGTGCTGGATAGCTTTGGTGTGAACTTGACACACCTGGGTTGAGGGAGCCTCAATTGGGGAATTGCCTCCATTGGACTGGCCTGTGGCCATGTCTGTGGGGCATTTTCTTGATTGTTGAGTGATGTGGGAGGGCCCATCCCACTGTGGGTAGTGACACCCCTGGATGGGCCTGTGTTGGATAAGAGAGCAAGCTGAGCAGGGGCCAGGGGAGCAAGCCAGTAAGCAGAGTTCCTTCATGGCCTGTGCTCCAGGTCCTGCTTCCAGGTTCCTGCCCTGAGTTCCTACCTTGGGCTCCCTGATGAGATGTAAAATGAAATAAACCCTTTCCTCCCCAAGTTGGTAGTGGTCAGAGCATTTTGTCACAGCAATGAAGAAACAAACTAGGACACCTATTAAAGTGATTTTAGTGTTACAGTCTGATTTGATAAAATAGTGTAAAGCAGTCTGCTTGTGTATTTGGCTTTATCTGGAGCCTCCTACAAGTCACTTGTTAAGAAAAGTAGTCACATCAGACCATTTTAGTCAGTATACAAAGAAAGAAGTTATATAAATTAGAGAAAAGTAGTAAGAGAGCCTGGCCTCTGGAGTAACAGAAAAGGCTAAAATTTTAGCTGTTAACTTGAAAAAGTTGTTTAAATTCCTTTGGTCTTGGTTTCTTCATCCATGAACCAGATAATAGAGATGCAGTAGAGGAGTGGTGAAAAGCACATCTTTTGAGCCATACTTCTATATTCAAAACTTACCCTTTGAGCAGCTTCTCCTGTGCTTTGGTACCTTTATCAACGGTAGCGAAGAAACTATTTACCACGTATAGCATTGTTACTAGGACTCAGTGACTTCTGGGATGTGACTGAGTATGTAGAAAGCACTCAACATAAGGTAGTTGCTATTGAGTATGAAAAGCGATAATTACCATGGAAAAACTGTTTTTGAGAACAAATTAAAATAATATGATGTCCCCACCATAATGATTAAGCATACAGTAGGTTATAATTATTTATAAGGATTAAAGCTTTTTCATGTTTCAAATAATGTAACTTTTCTTATGGTTGCCTGATTACTTAACTCTGAAGTGATTAAAGTATTTTTATATGAATCTTTGGTATCAGTCATGCCAGGGCTATCATAACATACAGGTTTGACTACGCAGCTTTTTGCCAGCTTATTTTGAGCTGTTGTAATCTGCACATTTTTTCATGCCTTTCTTTGTTTTAATTCCTAAATCTTGCTTTCCTTATTTATTGTATTAGCTATTTGTTTTTATAATCTATATCATTAGAAGCACAGACTTTTTAAACTGTGCTTTTATAGATCCCTAAAAGCTAAAAAACAAAGTATAGAGAAGTAGCTTTGCTAAGCTTCAGTTAGTGGCAGAGTTGGGACTAGAATCCAATTCTTTTGATTTCCAATATAAGTGCCTTTTCTACATTAATCAAAGTGTATTTTAGAAATAAATGGGTTAGGGTATTTATTATTATTATTGTTGTTGTTGTTGTTATTATTATTATTATTATTATTATATGTTTTTGAGACAGGGCTTTATATCCCAGTTTGGCCTCCATCTTGCTGTGTTATCTAGACTGGCCCCAAACTTGTGATCTTTCTGCTTCAGTCTCCCAAATGCTGGGATTTCAGAAGTAGGCGACCATACCTAGCTTAACTTTTTATTTTATAATGTATATTTGATTTGTTGTACAAAATAATGGGTTTCATAATGACACTGTTGTCCAAATATATCATATACTTTAACCATATTCACCCCCATTACCCTCTCCCAGCCCTCCTGCTCCCTCTAGTTCACTTTTCTCAAATCCTGACATTCTTATTTTCTTCTTTTAAAATTTATGGGAAAATTTAAAGAGTAAGTTGGATTCTTAAAAATATTAGCCCCATTCATAAATCTAATCTCATCAACATTTATTTCAGATACTATGAAATAGAGTTGAAATGATTTTAACCCATAAAAAATTAGCCATTTACAGAATTTTAAATATTTATAATCATTTTTGAACATCAACATTATGAAAACTATAATCCATGGGTTTTGTAGGTTGCTTAAATTTTATTTACATTTTTATTCCTTTGAATAATTCTTTAGTCAGCTGCCCTAATTTTCTGTAGTATTTGACAGTCAATTTTTAATATTTGCCTCAGTGCATGTTTAGAATTATAAAAGGTACTTATTTTTTGATTAGTCCAGATAGTTGTTCATTTCTTCCTCTCTCGCAGTCTTAACTCTGGCCATTTAATTAATTAGTCCTGAATGAAGGAATAGGACAGTTTATAGAATAGTGAAAGTTCTGCTTTTGTTTGCTTTTGTTTTGCTTTTAACTGTTAAAAAAAATCTTCACAAGCAATCACAATATATTGAAAAACAAATGCATGTAGATTTTATTTTACCATAAAATGTTTACTCTGTGGGAAAATAGCTATGCTCCTGTGGAAATTCGGTGGTAAGACTGTGTGGGGCTTTTGAGAGAAGATTCCTGCTGAGTCTTGGAAGAGGCCTGCATTGGTGATGAACAGATTGTCAGTTAGGATAGGAAATTCTAAGAAAGGCCATGTACTTTTATGTACAGAATATGATTTGTGTTTTGGATGGTCAGATTGCTTGAACAGATCCCTGAGATTAGACCTGCGTAGGTCAGTGGTAGCGTTTTTTAGGTACTTCTTGATCTTTTCTTCTTTAACCCTTATATCAATATTAACTAAAAAACTGGCAACTATAAAACAGAAATGTAAGACCTGATTACCCCCTCCTTGATTGTTGAGTTCTATGAAGAACCTTTAAAAGGTAAGGTTATTTAATCATGTCTTGTACATTTATACTAGTGTTTGTGATGGGGGTGGGGGTGGGTGGGTGTGTGTTTCATGCTTGGGGAGGACAGAAGTCAAACTTGGATGTAACTACTCAGGAGACGTCCCCCTTGTTTTGTTTTTTAATTAAAAAAAATTATCATTTGTGTGTGTGTGTGTGTGTGTGTGTGTGTGTGTGTGTGTGATACATGTGAAGTGCAGGTGCTGCTTGCCATAGTTTGAACCTTTCCTCCTCCAGCAGATCCCCTCTCCACTCTCATTTAACCTATATGGTACTGTCTTACCTACTTAGAACACCCTCCCAACTATTACCATTCTAGTTTCTTGGGTTCCTGAGGTACTCCAAGGTAAGCATACAAAAATGAAAGTGTCAGAGCTAAGATCCACATATGAGAGAAAACATGTAATGTTTGCCTTTCTGGGCATGGCTTAACCTCACTCAGTATAAATTTTTCCAGTTCCATTTTCTGCAAATTTCATTTTTAATTGCTATATGAAATTATGTACTACATATACAATTATGTATATGTAATAAATATTCATTATCCATTTGTTGTTTGATAGGCATGTAGACTGATTTCATTTCCTAGCTATTGTGAATAGAGCTGTAGTGAACTTGGACATGCAGATTTATTACCATTTGTGTGTGTGTATGTATGCATGCATATGATGTATGTGTATGAATTGTGGGCTCATGCATGCCACAGTGCATATATACAGGTCAGAAGACACCTTTTGGGAGTCGATTTTCTCCTTCCACCATATGATCCAGGTATCAAACTCAAGTCATTGGACTTGGCAAGAGCTTTACCCATGAGCCATCTTGCTATTATGACTTTACTTTTCGAGAACAGAGTCTTTCACTGGGACCTAATGCTTGATGATTAGGCTAGGCTGACTGGCCAGTGAGTCCCAGGAACCTTCCTGTCCCTGCTTCCCCAGTTCTGGAGTTATAAAAGCACATGCCACCACATGTGGCTTTTTAAATATGGTTTTAGGAAGTCAAATTTGGGTCCATATACTTTCCACAGCAAGCACTTTATGGACTGAGCTCTCTTCCCAATCCCTAAACTATTCTTTAAAAAAAACTAGAAGCTGGGCTTGGGGGTTCATGCCTTTAATCCCAGCACTTGGGAAGCAGAGGCAGGTAGATAGATTGAGGCCAGACTGGTCAAGTTCCAGGCCACTTGAGGCTATAGGGAGGCCCTGTCTCAAAACAAGACAAATAAAATCTTTTTAATTTATTTTTATTTTATGTGTATGAGTGTTTTGCCTGAGTACACCTGTGTCATGCAGTGCTGACAAAGGCAGGACAGGGGCATGGGATCCCCTGGAACTGTAGTTGCAGATGGTGGTTAGTCGCCATGTGGGTGCTGGGAACCAGAACACAGGTCCTTTGCAAGAGCAACTAGTGCTCTTAACTGCTGGACCATCTCTCCAGAACAACCTGTTCTTTTTTTTTTAAGTTTTTTATTTATTATTTTTATGTGTATGTGTGTATTGCCTGCATGTAGGTAAGTGCACCTGTGTTGTGCAATGCCCGCAGAGGACAGAAGAGGCTGTCAGATCTCTCAGAACTGGAGTTCTGGACAGTTAGTTGTTAGCTGCCATGTAGATGCTGGGATTTGACCACAGGTCTTCTGTAAGAATATTCAGTGTTCTTAACCACTGAGCCATCTCTCCAACCCCCAAACTCCCTGTTCTTAAAAATAAAATTTAGGACTGTTTTGGAAAATTTTGGTTATATAATTATGAGATCTATATCTAGATACTTATATGCCCATATGCATATGTATATATCCACACATATGTGTATATAGTTTTTCTCCTTTGTTTTCTGACACAAATCCAGACTGTCTCTCCCTTATTACATATACTGCAGTAATTTCCTAGTCAGTCTTCCTCAGAATAGTTTTCAAGTCATCAGACATAACCCTCAGCCTTTTCATTGAGAGCTCTAAATCATCCCCTTTGCCATGTATTATTGCCTCATAGTATTCAATTTCCTCTGTCTTAAGAAATCCCCTTTCCAAATCTAAAGAGGAAATTGATGCCACATTCTAATTTTCTAACCGCTCCACCCCACTATCTTGCCCTTTTTAAAAAGGATGTTAAAACAAGTTAAAAGCAACTACTCATTTCTGACTACTCTGGTCCACAGTTTTTCCTCATCCTTCTTTCCTTCTTCCTTCCTCTGCTCTCCTGTTTCTATACAGAAAAATGCACAGTCTAGCACTTAATTTTTTGATATATAGAAAATGAGATTAGAGACTTCTGTGATTTGTCTTCAAATATCTCTCAAAGTCCAGAGTGCTCACTATTACAGTACAGAACCATAGTAAATTTCTCTTTCTCTTTTTCTCAATTTCTCTCTTTCTCCCTCCCTACTACACCCCCCCCACACACATACAACACACATGCATACACACCACCTCAGTTCTTGTTAGCTGTATAGCAAGCGTTTCATAAAAATGTACTGAGTGTGAGTAGTCAAGGAATAACAGCTGTAGAAGTAGTGAAGAATCCTTAAAACCACGATACTTGTTTTTAGGGGTTGTAGTGTTTAAAAGTGGAGTTTCTGAGTAACTGAAAGTAACTATCTTCTATGTAGTAATATTTTAGGATGAGAGATCTTAGAAGCAGATATCCTGCAATTGTTATTCTGAAGTGTGAAAGATCATTCTTGGTGTCAGATTTTTATCTTCATTGAAGATACTGAAATTGGTCTGGAAGTTAGGAAATCATTCTTATTCACAGTCATGCTCAGATATGTAGGTATACTGGCTAGAATAACACACACTAGAGTCACCTGGGAACAGGGAACTTTAGTTAAGGAATTTTCTTCATCAGATTGACCTGTGGGTGTGTCTGTGAAATTGTCTTGATTGATGAATAATATGGGAGGGTCCAGCCCTCTGTGGCAGGTGGGCCTGGGCTGTATGATAGGAAAGGTAGCTGACCATGAGCCTGGGAGCAAGCCAGAAACAATGTTCCTCTGGTGGGCTCTGCTTCAATTCCTGCCTCCAGGTTTCTGCCTTGAGCTCTTGCCCTGGCTTCCCTTGATGATGGACTGTAACCTGTAAGATGAAATAAACCCTTTCCTTCCAAGTTGTTTTTGGTCATGGTATTTATCACAGCAGCAGAAATCAAACTAGAACAGTATATTTTAGGGAAAAGGAAGGATGGGGAGGAGAGTAGACCAGTGGAAAACATGCCATAAGTATCTGATAATTATTATCTAAGGAGAAAAAAGAAAAATAGTAAGCAGTAATTATGATTGTAGATTACTAGAGAAGTCTACTTGGGACAGTTCCTTAACTAATGCTATAATGTAGCTGATGAGTAATAAGAGTGGTGGCATTCAGTTTGTGATTACATTGTCCCCAGTGTCTTCATTCTTTCTCTGGAGGAAATGCCCAGACATGTAGATTCTAGTGACAGCAAGGCAGGCAGTTAAATAATCTAGGATGTGAATGTGGTTTTGTTTTACATCTCAGCAGCTGTAAAATCAGAGAAGAAAACGTTAGGTTATCTTTTTTCTCTAAGGAAAATTAAATAGCTTCTTTACATTTTGTTACTGTAACTATGAATTAAAATTTTAATTTAAGGATTATTTCATTCTTATCTTTTATCTTCATCAAGAATCTGGAAGCTTTTTATAACTGTAAAAAAAGTTAAAATTCTCTTGAGCTCCTGCCAATAGCTTACAGTGATGCCAAAATTTATGTGTGGGAAAGTTGATTTCAATAAGGGTAATTTAGCTGACGTTTAGTCTAAGAAACCAGTGTTTTGCTGCCAACCAATTATTTATATTTCTAAAAAATGGCTTATACTTTGTACCAATGCTTTCTTTTAATCTAGACTAGCTACTCAAATAAGATATTTCCACTAGTGGTATATGCCCTGTAAGAACATTACATTCTTGTTTAACCTCAGCCTTTTTTCAAATATGTGTTTTGGGACATTCTATTAAATGTTGCCTTTTGTTTAAATAAAATCCACAGGAATTAAATCAACAACTAGAAAAAAGAAAAGAGATGGAAGAACGTGAAAAAAGAAAGATAATTGCTGAAGAAAAGCACAAGGAATGGGTTCAGAAAAAAAATGAACAGGTAAGAAGATAAAACCACAAGTATGCTCTCTGCTTACATCTGTCTTCCTACCTCACTCATTTTCCAGGACTGTGTATTATTTGCTTTTTTTGTTTTTGGATATTGTTTTTCCATGCCCTCATGAACACTTGTTACGTCTGTCTGCCTGCCTTTGCTCTCTACTTTTCTTCCTGTGGCTTCCACTAGTGTCTGTCTATAGTCACTAAATTTGTATCTTTAGACCTGAATTTTTAGGCCTGGGATTTCCATCTATAGGTTGGCGGGCTAGTCAAGTGAACATCTGAAACAACCTATTTGTTGCCCGTCGTCCCGTCATAGAACATTTCTCCTTACTCCTTTCTTCTGTTGCTGCTTTTGTCTCCTCAGTCACAATCAGAATTCTTGTTCCTAAATACCTCCTATTTGTAGTCACTTCTCAATAGTCTCGTTGCATCCTTCAGCGTCATCGTTTCCTTCTCTACTGCGGAATAGCTCAAAGAAGGTCAGGAATTGGGGCTTTTTTATTCCGTTCTTCAGCAGCGTGGTCAGTACCATACGTGATACTTAACCTAGAAATATTTATTGAGTGAATAAATTCATCTTCTGTGTCTGCGGGATTAATCTTGCTGAAGAAGTCTTAATGTCATTTCCTAATTAAACTACTTTTCATATGTCCTCACTGTCTTCTGAATGAAATTTCACAGCTCCAGGCTAAGGACACTCCACTTTGCTCTCTGAGCCAGGCTTCCATGTCAGCATTTCTCTTACCAGTGTTTCCCTTATTTTATGATAGGAGCTCACACAAGGTAGCTATTGTCCATCCTCTTACAGTGCTGGTTTTACTGGAAAGTTTTGAGAGGGAAAAAATGCTTTCTACTGAAGCAAGCACAGATATGGAATACAGTAAAAGTAAATTTTATTATTTTTTGTGGAGCTGAGTATTAAACCCAAGGTCTCACACGTGCTAGGAAAGTACACTAATCACTGATCTTTTATGTGATTTTTAAGATACAATGATATTTTCTAGAAATTATTCTAGCACTTTGGCTGTGTCTTCCCTGTCATTCAACTCTTAAATTCTTTCTGCTTCATTTTCCTCACTGTTCCCTGAGCCTTAGGGGAGGTGATAATGAGTGTCTTGTTTAATGCTGATTACTTAACAGTCACTTATTTTCTCTGCCTTAGCTACCCTTGGTTGAAAAGAAAAGCTTCTTTGATGAAAACTGAGGACAGCACTAGTCTGTGGGTATAAATGTAAATATTTAAGTGGCAATTTGACAACATGTCAAATTACCAAGACAATAGTAGTGGGTTTGACCCTAGTTCTTATAACCACCCTAGCTCCATGGACCTTTGACCAGGTCCACAGAAGCAGGTATGACCTTCCTCATACGGAGCAGGCTTCAGAGGCAGTCAGAAATAAGTTGGTTACCCCGTAACAGTCATGCCACTATTGCATCAGTAAGCACATGTTGCTTGGCAAGTTGTTATTATAACACACACAATCTGAAGCTGGAGAAGACCAGCTTTTCTCTCCCAGCTGTCTGCCTAGCAACTTGTAGCACTGTGAAGATGGCTAGCCATCAAGGAGAAAGCTAGGAAGCTATCAGTCTAGTATGGTTTCTTTGTATTCTGCAACCAAGGAGTGTGGTATCTTCAGAAGTAGGATCATAGCATTCCATTTTGGTGGACAACCAATGGCAGTGGCTATAACGTATGGTTTTGGAGGCCTTAGGACCTTCCTGGTCAACAACTCCAGGACGGTGTCTTATACACATAGCACTGGGATTTTCTTCTAATAACTCAAGGCTTCTGGGATCAGGATTATCTGCCTATGCATGGTACCTCATCAAGAAGGAATCTCATCATATTCTCCACTCTGCTGTTCCCTTTATATATTCGAGATTCTTTCTTGTGAATCTCTTTGATTTATATCACTGTTGTGATACTTTGTTATATACTGTCTATAGTTCGTTAAAAGAAAAAGAAATACCAGATGTCTTATATACATACCTTTACTCCCTTTGCACTTTTAAGATCCTTGAAAACATGAATTGTTTTTATCCATTATGTTTATTCTTTGTTAGATTTAGCACAATGCTTTACGTATCATATTTTTGATTGAATGAATGAACAGATGGGTGAATTTTTTTCCTCATCTTTTTATTGTTGTGTGGGGATTGAGCCCTGGGCCTCATACATGCTAGGCAAGTGTTGTACCACTGAGTTACAGTCTCAGCTCACCTTTCAATTTTTTTTGTCTTTATTATTTTCATAATTAAAAAACGGGCCCTAAGATTGAACCCAGGGCCTTACAATTTAAATACTCTGTTGTTATTTGTCTATTTTATTGTAATATTTATGTTTATAGTGGTATGACTTCATTGTTAAACTCTAGTTTTTATGAATTTAGACAAATGTTTAAATTGTAGGACAAAGCTTTATCTGTTTAATTATAATTTTTTCCTTATTGTTAAATTTAATACCCAGTTCCTCCTAAGAGGAATATGTAAATAATTTCATAAGTTGTAGAAGGCACAATTATAAGAAGGAAATTAGTGTGATGTGTCTGTGAACAAATTTCTTCCTTACATCAAAGTCAATTCTTGTGGGTTCTGTTTGTTTGCATCATCCGTAATATAACAAGAAAAGTGTTCTTTGTGAATAAATGCCAAAATCAAAATGTGTGGTGTCCATGACAAAACTTTGGGTGATGCCTTTTAGAAGTTTCTAACTATAAATCAAAATAGTTCTATATGTGCAGAATGGTACACTGTCTTCTAAAAGCCTCTCTTATCTTCTAACTCCATTAAGCTAATTTTGCCATGCCAATCATATGTACTTGTTATTGTCTAAGAATGTAAGACACTGCTGCCGGGTGTGTGATGTATTTGCTGTTTTAATTAGTGGCAATAGATCTAATCCAATTATTTGAGGGAAAACAATTCTTTTTCTTTCTCTGGGGGAGGCACACAGGGGAAGTAGCTTGCCCTGATGTAACCAGAAGGTTGAAAATAATTTAAAAGTGAACCCTGAAAAATTGAATTTACCTACAATGCTATAGCTCTCTTGTACCTATTAAGAGTAATTGATTACCCTTTTTATTTTCTTTAAAAATATTAAATTTCTTATTTCAGCCTTACCCACATTTACCTCTATTTGGAAAACTGCTCTCTTGGTTCTCCTCTTCCTGTCTGGAATCTAGGATCTTCTCCTCTGTTTACATTTCATGGTGTGTGGTCCTCTTCTCCAGCTTCAGTCACATTTCAGCTGTACCCTCAGCTGCTACTCTCCCTGTCATTTTCACAGTGTTCTATCAAAGAAGCAGACAGAAAAAAATTTATGTATCCATTAGAAAGCTAGTTTCTTACTTATGACTATAAATTGTTAAATCCTTCTGAAACAAAGGGCTTAGCTCATCTGGAACTTATATTTGTGTTGTCACACTAATTTATTTTCTTGACTTGGTTTTTACGGTGTTAATAGACATTTTTTAAAAAAGCCTTTAAGTTTTTTAAAGTTACTTAAGAATAAAATATGTTTTAATTCTCAAAACACAAGTGATATTTTCCAAGGGTTTCTGATGCAGTGCAGCCCAGCTCAGGCTGTGACTGATGGAACTGTTATCAGGGCAGCACTCCAACTTTCAGGTGTTTACTCGGCTCTTTCTCTGTGCCAGGCAGGCACTGTAGAGGAACCAAAAGAGAAAGCCAGAAGCTTTTAACTACTCATTGCTGTTGTTTCCTTCTTTAAAAGATTGATTGTTGCTCTCTGGTATAGAACCAGTGTGCTAGGAAAATCTGAAGCCACGCAGAGGGGTGTCTCCCAGTGCCTACTCTGTCCTCTGCTAGCCACAGGCATTCTGTTCCCTCCAGCTTACGTCCTGCAGACAGCCTAACTTTTAAAATGCATTTATGTATTCACTAACTCTAAACTCATTTTTTATTAGCATGTTTTATACAAAGTACTGAGTTTCATAGATGTTTTTATACTTGCCTATAATTGACTTTGCACGTATTCAGCCCTTATTATTCCCGCCCCCTCTAGTTTTTAAAAAATTTCATTGAGCTGTAATTTGCATATAATAAAATGTATCTATTTCAACTTCATGAAGCTTGATAAACTTCTGTGCCAGTGCAACTAAGCAGTACTACAGTTGAGAGTGTTTTCATCATTCTGGAAAGTTCCCCTCTGCCCCATTTGTATCCAGATCCCCCACTCCTCACCCCATGCTAGCCCAGGAACAAAGCAACCAGTCATCTCTTTCTTCTGTACACTCAATTTTCTTTTTCTAGAATTTCATTTAAATAAACTAATAGAATCTATACTATTTGTGTTGATTTTCTTTTGTTTTTAAATTTATATTTCATATATTATTAATCCCTTTTTATTGTTCGAATATCCTATGGAATAGAATAAATTGCTTATTTGTCCATTGCTAATAGATAATTGAGTTGCTCTTAGTTTGAAGTCTTATGAATAAAATTCTCTGGTTACTTACTTGCAAGTGGATGTTTGTTTTCTTTTGTCTTGGGTAAATGTTTAATTTCTAGATTGCTGGGCTGGATGGGAACTTTGTATTTAACTTTATGGGAATCACTGAGCTTTTCTAAGTGCTTGTACCATTTTGCATTCCCTCTGTCATTGTATAATAGTTCTAATTGCCAAACTTGATATAGTTAACTGTTTTCATTTAAATACTTCTCTAGTTAATGTATAGTGGTTTGCCATTGTTATTTTTATTTGTTTGTTTGTTTTATTGTCCTGAGATGTTTAGCATCTTTTCTTACTTTATTAGTCTTGCAGTGATACCATAAGAAATTACTACAAACTGGAAAAAATGGAAATTTATTTTTGTACACTTTTGGAGCCTGGAAATCAAGACAAAGGTGTGTGTAGGTTTGGATTGTCCTTAGGCCTGTCTCCTTGGTTTGCAGGTGGCTGTGTTTTTGTCTCTTTACATGGCTTTGTCTCTGTGTCATTTCCTCTTCTTATAAGGGTACCAGTACTCTTGGATTAAA